CGCCCCGCCCCCAGAACTTTCGTCACATGTGACGAAAGTGCGTTTTTAAGAAAAAAGCATGGTGACGTAAGTTCCAGTAAATTTCGGAGTACTTTTTGTGGCTGTGACGAAAATTCACACTTTGATGACGAAAGTTCCGTCGAATGTGATGAAAATACCCTTGCTTTTAATGGTTCCTGCTTAACTTTCATCATACTAAAATACCGCTATAAATACAGAATAGAATCAAGCGCTGTGATCGGGAGCACTCCCTCAGTAAGAGCTGCATGTAGTATTTACTACACTGCAGTACTTCCCTAACAAGTACTTACAGCGGATTATGTGCCTTTCTCATGAGATAACAAGTAAAACCAATGAAGTGCTTCCTGAGGTAGGACTTCCTGACTAAGTACTACTCACCTTTTAAAACATAAAGAAACATATATAGAATCAAGCGTTGTGAGATTATTATGTGATCGGGAGCACTCCCTCAGTAAGAGCTGCACTTAGTATTTACTACACTGCAGTACATCCTTAGGAAGTCCTGACAGAGTAAATAGTAGTGTACATATACGTTTTCGAAGTGTTTTTTGTGGCCGTAACGAAAATTCACTTCTACGTAAATTGTAACTTACAGTGAACAAAGATTTATAGTTCAAAATTTATGAGCTTACTCTGTAATCACTTGCTAAGGAAGTACTTCCTTAGCAAGTGATTGAGAGTAGACTTTGGTCACACTTAAAGAACATTTAACGTTCTTTAAGTGTGACCAAAGTCTACTCTGACGAAAATTCGCCTCATGGAACGAAATAAATGGGCAGAATTTATGACATCATCGATGAAAAAAGGAAAGATGATATTTTAAGGTATTTAAACAGAATTTGACGTATTTTTATAAATATCATGAATTGTTAAATTTAAGAGCACTTTTTAACCTTCAAATAAATAATAAACTTGATTATGTTTTTACGAGAAAACCTTCCCAGGTGACTATCTCCATTTTCAATGATATTAAATCAATTTATAAAGGATAGCGTTCTGGTGAAAACCCTAAAAAGATGAAGCACTTAGAATAATACAAGTAGACGTAGGAAAATCAATGCGTATAATATTCAGTGAAAAAATAATTGAAACACAATTGTCTTCGACATCAAATACAATTTATAAACGGTGATTCATTACATAAGTTGTCATCATAAGAATTATCATTGAAAGTAAAGCAAACTTCTCTGGCTTTTTGCCGATTACTGGACGATTTACAGAGTATAAGACGGGAAAATTCTCTAATAAGGGTGCTACAAGAAATTAAAAAAGAAGGCTACTTTGACGAATCAAGTGTATCGGAAATAAAACAGACTGGATCACTATCTGCACAGTTGTACGTGCTTTCTAAAGTTCGATAAACGGACACGCCCATTCGTCCTATTATTTCATGCGTACAATCCTACAATTACGAATCAGGGAAATTTTTAGCCAATATTCTTGTTTCATTACGAAATCGTAAATATTCTCTCCAAAATACGACAATTTCTTATCATTCTTAAAGTGTAATCCGCATCTGTCAAAATGTAAAATGATGAGCTCGGACATTGAAAGCTTATTCGTCAACATTTTAGTGGATGAAACTGTCGATGTTATTTGCGAACGGCTGTGTGTCTCTGATCCAAAACTGAAACCGGTTTTACCTTAAGCTCATTTAAGATAATTATCAAAATTTGCAATAACCGACACATTTCGTGTTTAGCAACGTATATTATAAATAAACAGATGGAGTATCGATAAAATGATCGTTGGTAGCCATATTTGTCGACGTGTTTATGACACATTTTGAACAGATATATACATTGAAAAATTGATGCACACTAACATAGAATTAATTATCTCATCGGTGTGTGGATGATATTACGATACAGAAATGGCCTAAATTGAATTCTCAAGTACATAATCAGCTGTCATAAAAAATATTTAACCGGATAATTCGATACGCATTGTATCTATCAGGATGTTTAAAAAATAATCCTGGAGCTTTTGAAAAGGTCCGAAAAGTTTGCTTTACTTTCAATGATAATTCTTATGATGAGAACTTATGTAATGAATCATCGTTTATAAATTGTATTTGATGTCGAAGACAATTGCGTTTCAATTATTTTTTCACTGAATATTATACACATTGATTTTCCTAGGTCTACTTGTATTATTCTAGGAGCCTCACCTTTCATGTTCTATTCATATTTTATCAAGGTGCACATCTTCATTACGACTTTTATTGTATCTTGCTTTGAAAAACATTATCTCACGGTTTTACTGATTTATGAAATTTCTAGTGTTACTGGAGACCCTTGCGCAAACAAAAAAGAAATTTGAAGTTGAAAGAAGCAACAAGGGCCCATATCTTTTTACAGAGCACAAGCGTATGAGCCGTTATTGCTAAGTAAGCTGTAGTTTCAAACATATAGGCCGTGGCTATGCAGTGAATGACTGTTACGGAGTTGACCGAATCGATGTGTCAGTTAGTAGATGAATGTTTGATAGATGAATTGCATTGGGAATAATATACTTGAAACATAAAATCATTTGAATTGTATGTATCAAGTTATCTGAAAGACAAGAATTGTTAAATCAATTCCCAAGTTACAAGGCACGTTGTTACAAATGTATGCTAAAATATCGTTAAACAAAGCACCTAGCTAAATTTCAAAGAGAAGCCAGTTAATAAAGAAGGGTGTGCGTGGGTTTACGAAAGGTTTGTTCTCTTGCAGGTGAGTGACAAGAACGACAGTTTTAGAAACAAAATACTTTGATGTTAATTACAAACTAAAATTGGCAAAGAATGAGTGAACGAAATTGGAGAACCTTGTTTTCTAGAAAAAACGAGCAAGTTCGAACTTTCTAACGGAGCGCCAGCAATAACTGAAAATTAGGGCAAAATATGAGTTTTGACAACGTGAGAACATGAACTCGCGTTAATGTACTGATTCTCATACATTAACTACCAATTAATGAAGTTTGTCATCTGGCCTCCTATTAGTCCTATGACCATGACAGCGACACCAGTCAAATTCAACGAGTCACTATAGGCATTGCACAAAAAAACTTCGAAACCTTTTATTTTCCTTTCGTTCTTATGTACTATTCACCATTGCAAAACAAAACGGTGAATGAACTCCGATAAAAAAAGGAGCGATTAACTGACAACCGACGTTTTTTTTACATTGACCGTGGTTATTGAAATAACCATCGATTAACCACGGTTAACTGTTGGTTTTCAATCAATCATGGAGACGTCTTATGAAAAATTTAAAAATACTGCTAATATCACAAACAGTATTTCATTCAACCACAGCTCGATTAATGAAAATTCAATAAACACTTGGTGATTTTTTAAATTTGTGTAGTCATTGATAGCAGCTGAAAATATTAAAATTTTTTGAATCAATTAGTGTCAAGAAACGAAATTTGCAAATAACAGCAGCACTGTTAAGAAGATGATACTGAAAAATACTTTAGGTCTGGTAAACAGAAAATTAGAGTCAACAGAAATTTTTCTCATTACAAAATTATTTGAGAAAGTTAAATGGTTCATTGAAACGTACGAAAAACGTCATTAAAGAAACTGTATTGGGTTTTCTATACTGTTATCTGCAAGATATCGACAGATATATAGAAAATATATAGAAAAAACGATGTTACGAATAGTACTGATGATCGTCTTACCACATATCAGTTTTAATGGTTAAGACTGCTCATGTGGCAAATGGGTAATGATCAGATTTGAAGTTAAAAAAAAAAAGTTTTGAAGAATAAAGTGTCGAAAGCAATGTACATCATTACATGTAGAGAAATAAAAGTATGAGACTTGCATTATTACCGATGTTTTTATAGATAATGATTGAAATGAAAAATGTCTATTTTGATATTTTGAAAAGGATGAATTTACGTAAGTTACGTCAGTTAATAATGATCAGTTTTTTAAATAATCGTTGTAAATCAATTTATATGGAATCAATTTCTAAGAAACATGCTATCAAATAAAAGGACAATCAAGAAAATTGATTAAAGTGTTAAAGAGCTATTCACATTTTATTTTTGATCAGATTCTTGGGACACCCTATACTAAACAACTAAATTTTCTGCACTTCAATTTACTCTATAAGGAAATATATTTAGTAAACTAGAGTTATCACTGACTAACAAGAGTCCAAGAGTATATCAGACCTAACCAGGCAAGAAAAAAATTAGTTTTGGCTTGAGAGAAAAGCTTTTCACTTGTGATAGCAACTAAACAGTTCCGTGATGTTCTATGAAGAATGGTTAACTGGAGTAAACTGTATGTTAAAGTGGAATATAGTACTCCGTGTCGAATTTTTGGGCTAATAAATCTTTTCTAATTAACTTTTCACTTGCTTCTAAAGCGAACTGCTGTTCGTTTTTTTTAGATAGATATTTAGTTTTATGAGAATTGTTAGTTGTCTTTTTGTGAAAACTTTCAGAGCTTACCTTATTCAGAAGGAAAAAACAAGTTTTAAGTTTAAAAAGGTTTTAGCGACCAAACGGCTGTTTTTGCACTTTCTGTTACTTCCTTCCCCCACCCTCCTTTCAGGAGGTCAGACTGATAGGACACGAACGCCGTAGTGTCTTGTAATTTGTAACTGACTGTTTTGCCTTCTCTCTTTCGTGCCAGTCTCACCATTTAACATATCAGTGACAACAGCAGTAGTTGTCGAAATAAAGGTGTACTGGTACTAGAGCAAGAACTGGATGTTTCTTGTAGCTTAGTTTAAGGGAAACGATAAATAGACTAGTGGGTACTGATTATATATTTGTGTGTATGTCCAGGAAGAAAGTTTTCACATTTTTACCCCCACGGAGTAACGCTGACAAGCTTTTTTTTCATGTAGTATGAATATTAATATTATTTTATTAAAGGTAAAATGTCTTGTAAATTCATTTCTTTTCAAGTGCCAGTGTGCTTACGTAACAATTAGCATAACGCTTGCCTGTAATCACCTTAACACACATTTTTCACATTCGGTCAAATGAACAAAATACCAATAAGTAATAGTGATATGATGTAATTCCTACAGTTTAAGTGTAATGTGTCCCTCACATACACATTTCTTGTCTTCAATCTTACGACGACGTCGACTGTATGGGTGTATATTGCTTACCTTCATTAAAAGAAGAAAAAAAAAATTGTTTCTTTTTTCTTCTCTCACTCGCTCTTTCTGCTTGTTATAATCTATATGAACACTTAGAGTTGTCAGAATATGTATGTAACGTACATATATATATATATATATATATATATATATGTAGATATAGAGTTGACATTCTGAAAAAAAGGAAAAATAGGTTGATGAAATTTGTAGGTTCATTCTACATACATATAAATTGGAAAATCCTAAGTTTATATTGGTTTATATATGTTCTACTTTGTTAAGCAAATGGTCAACGTGTTCATTCTAACACACTTCTATTTTTAAGAATGTTAACAACAAACGATAATTATTTTTCAACATCATCGTCTTCTTCCGCGTCTTTTACACAAACAAATGGATTATTGAGATCACAATCAAAGCGTTTATCAGCAACAACATCGACTCATGGCATTCGTGGGTTTTTTTAGCCATTGTTTTAAAACAACTTGAACAAAATTTTTTGTTTCTAGCTGATCTATTAGGAAATGAACAAATTGATTTAAATCGGTTGAAAAAAACTGCGTTACTCCACCAAACAGATATTCCAAAAAATCCACGAATACATCGTACATTGTCAACATTGGATAGCGTTTTAAATGTGTTGGAGTAAGTTAATCATTTTCAATAGGCTCAAATGCTCTCATGAATAGATTTTTTGTTCGTTCTAATTGGCGGTATCAATTTATCGTTTTCTCGGTATTGCCAATTAAATTTTGTTCCGAGCTAATCACGTTATATTGTTCTTTTTTAGAGAACATGGTAGAACATCCAAAATTGAAATAGATAACCTTGTGGACGAAGTAAACAAAGGTCAACATTATCTAACTCGAGTATGTGCAGACATTTTCTTAAAGAATTATGATATTTCAAATATTTTATCTTTAGAAATTACATGAATCGCAAACTCAATATCTTAAATTACAAGCTCATATAGGCAGTATTCAAAGTTTGAAAGAATGTTATTGCCGATATGTAAAACTATTAGATGGTGCACGAACAATGTTCAATGCTTATCAGAATTCAAAAAAGTCAACATCATTAGTATCAACAACAACGTCGCAAGTGAAATTAGGACTTAAAGAGTGCACTCAAGTATGCAATAGTTGTATGTTTTATTCTTTTTTTATTTTATATAAATGTTTTTGTTCTCAGACATTATGTGCAATTGAAGCACAGTTGGAATCGATGCTTGGCACATTTGTATTAAAATTAAACGAAATCACTGGTTTTTCTCGGATATGCACCGGTGATGAATATGAAATTATTTTACGTTACGGACAACAAAAAACTAAAACAAGAGGAAAAATACAGCGGGATAAAACTCAAACATGGAGTAAAAATGTATTTTATTTGAAAGCCAAACTAGCCGATTTATTATTTATAAAAGTTAGCGAAATTAAATTATTGGGTACATCGCATACAGTTGGAATCAAATATTTTGAAGTAAACAATTTATATTCGATAAATCAACAACGAATGATTGTTAATGCCAATCAAGCTGCAACAATTAAGTTGCAATTTGTCGTCTTCTGGGAGTAAGTTGAAACTTTATTCTAATTATTAATTATTTCTAATTACTCGAATTAATATTTAAAAATTGTTCCTTTTAGTATGTACCATCAAGTTGATACTAAATTTACTTATTATAATCCAAATCGTTCTTATTCTGATGTTACACGTACATGGTCAATGTTTATTAGTAATAATACAGTATTACGTACAGTTAACGAGACATTATCGAATCGTCCAATATCTTCTACTGCATTTAGTTCATCTTCACAATCTCTATCATTCTTGAATTCAAAACGTATATCATCATTTTGGCCAGTAGAAAATGATCCATTTCGACTGGAATTAAAACAACGTTTACATACACAAAGTGATATAACACAATTTCCAACATATTCTGAATGTTCAAATGGAGAATATCTCGTGCCAAACGTGGAAGTTGAGTATGATGAAATTGAATCAATATCTAAACAACAAATTAATAATAGTAAATCTGAAGATCTTATTGAACAATCCTCAGCAGATTTACCATATAAGAATACATTTGAAACAGTCGAGACTACTGACAAAACTGTTCTAAAAGAGAATGAACAGAGGAAAGAATCTACTAATATAGCATCACCATCAACAATTTCGCTCGGTGAAAACGATAAAAAATACCATTTAGCATTAGAAGAGACAATAGATTATAAAATGAACGCATTATCAGATATAGAATCCTCAGCACCGACAAGTATTGAAGAAGACAGAGACCAAATATCTAAAGAAGACGAAGAAATAATAGAACAAAATTCAGAGGTAAGAAAGAACAAGATTTATACTTATATATTCTAGTTTGAATGTTCACTTTCTCTTTATTAGAATGATTCTCCTGATGATTTTCATATTCGTTCTCGTTCGTTGTCATTGGGTATTCAGTCTATGGATGGTGATAATTATGTTTATGAATTAGAAATGTTAATTCAACAGATTAAAACGTGTTTGGATGATATAAGAATAGGAAATGAACAAGTTATATTTGATCAATTAGATGAGAATATATCTGATTTAGATTCGACAATTAAACATTCAATTCATGAACAAACAGAACGAAATTTAGAAATCGAAGATGTTATGGAAGGTTTTGACTTTTTAAATGAAATGACAACAGACGAAATAGAACAACAACAACAACAGAAGGATGATAACAAACACGAAGAAGAAAAACAGCAGACAATCGTTGTTACAAGTGATGATGGTCCAGCACCTCATAATGCTGATTTTTATTCAAAAAGAATTGATTCAGGATTTATCGATAGTTCAAGACCTTATACTCCACCACCATCAGCTATAAGTACAACGATAAATGATTCAATCAATATGATAATAGTTGAATTGTTACGAATTATTTTGAAATTATTACACGTAAAAAATGACAAACAAGAATATAAATGGCTTATTTTATTAATTTTTTTTACTTTAGTACATCCAAAGTCGGATCAATATTTTAAGAGATTGTGAAAATTTGACAGTTATAAAAAAATTAAATGAACAAATTTCACAACTAAGACTTGCTTCATTATGGTGTAAAAATGAAGTACGAGATACTAATCAAGGTAAGCAGAATTATATTCTGATCTTTTCAGAAAGTAGTTTTCTCTACCATATCGATTCAAATAATATACATACTACTTTTCAAGTTTCATTTTATTGATTGAAAATTTGCGTAAGAAATAGATAACATCAGTAATTTATTTTTAGTTCAATTTCTTACAATCATTTTGGTTTACCTTCATTTAGCCACTGCTTTTAGCATGATTTATACTTCTCTCTTTAGAATAGAAGACTTTTAAAAATGAAAATGACAAAATTCGCATTTTACATAGATATCATTTGATCTCTCTTGCGTCTCATTAACTACGTGTTTGAACTAGAATCTTGTTTCTTCGACAAAAAAAAAAAGAAACATCACTATCTAAAAAACCAGATTCTATTTGTCTCCATACAAAAATAAAATTTTATACTTATAGCATTAATATTGTCAAAATGTTTGCAAATAGAGAAGATCATTGAATTTTGGAGTTTGTGTGTTTGTAATAGTGGAAGCTTTTATTCATTATATGATCGTTGTATTTCTGAATTAACGAATTATATCAGAGAATCGGATTATGTTAAATCGAGTGATTATGAAAATGATCAATCATTATGGACAGGTAACAAATCTAAATTTTTAGAATTATTTTATAGCTAAAAAATTTGTTATATATTCTTTCGTAGTAATTAGTGAACATTTACTCTCAGATCTTTGTTGTTTATCGTACACATACATTCGCCCAAAACATATTACATTATTACAAATTTTATTTCTACTCAATGATAATGAGATGTTTGAACAAAAGTTAAAATTATCTATTGAGCAATGTGAGTAATCTTATTGTGTTTCATCTTTATTTTATTATATTATTCATTTTCAGTTGGTTTTATTAAAAATATTGTTAATATGGTCACAAACAATGATTATAAAAATCTTGCCCTAATGTTAAATAGAAACACATTGAACAACAATGAACTTATTGATCAAATAATAATAGAAATGAATTATAATATTCCAGGTAGATTTAAAAGATTAGCAAAAGTGATGATAGATGAATACTTGTTTTTTTTTTGTGTGCTTTTTTCAGATGAATTTATTACTGAAATATCAACAGAATTTCGTTTCGAATTAATTAATCATTTAAAATCTTTATTGAACAAAGATGGACCATCTATTCGATTAGCTATTCATAAAACAATTCTTCGTGTACAACAAGTACATTATAAATAATAATATTTCATCATTTCAAAATATAATTATCTTTCTCGTTTAGATTGGACTTGCAAATTAATGATGAACTTGTTGTTAGATATATATTCTGAGTAAGTATTCCAAGAGTGTATGCTTTTCTGCCATAATAAGCTTTAAGAGACGATTAGTTTATCATGCATTTATCTAAAATGATAAATTTGTATTAACTTGTACAATATAATTTATTAGTTTGTACATCATTGAAGACAAAAACGACAAATTAATACGTATAATCAATTCAGATAGGTTTTCTCGTCTTTTTACAAATGAAACAATAATAATTCATTCTATTTTCTTGTTTTTTGTTTAATATATAGATGTGTATAATCAATAGTTAAACTTCACTTGTTTTTTGTTCGTCTGTTTGTTTGTCTTTATGAATATTGTTGATTGTTTTTAGTTTTTCAACTTATACGTTGTTACAGTGAGAACCGGTTATTTTGGATAAATGACCGATCTACACACATGACAATAAATACTTTATTAGCTCAAAAATTGAATTAAAATATCTTTGTTTTGTGTTTCTTTTGAAATTAGAACAGTGTTCTATCTTTCTTTTTGTTCTATAAAGATACAATATGTAGAATGATGTTATTTTCTTATATGTTTTCTATTGGCGATCATTTATTATTTGAATATTTTGTTTTATCCATATTTTTGTCGTTCGTCTGGATAAAACCTAATAGAACAAACAATTTTGAAGGATTCATTATATTTGTTGTGTTAATAGTTTTCTGTTGTGCAATTTCTTTTTTTTCTCTATATGAATCATATTGTGCTGATGCCGTCTCTATGATAAAAAATTAAATAAAATTACATTCACGTAATAAAAGTCAATAAAACTGTTTACTTTATTTCATAACTTTATTTAGGCTTGTCACAATGCCATTTCTGAGTGGAACAACTAGAAATGGTGCAATGGACATTTAATTTCCAAAAATACAAGACAAGAATTGAGAAGAGAACGATATTTGCATAAAATGGAGAACGGTTTGATAATTACGTTGAAATTTATAATTAAAAGTAGGTCTGCACGATGCATATATTGAAATCTTCGCGGCTGTTATGTTATGTAATAGTGGATGGAGCTGAAAGCACCCTTCTGAAACCGATAAACATCCTCATTTGTAAACTTTATTCGTTATTACTTGAAAAAGCATTTTTTATCATAGCTTTCGACATCTATCATCTTATCAAAATGGTAAAGATGTATTAATTGATGTTTATTTATTGTCCACATGTTTCATTATGTCCAGACCCAAAGGGAAATGTAGGGAGTGCTACTAATTGTATAAATACAAATTTAGAAATAAATGATATGATCAATCAATATTTCGCTCAAAAAGATGCTTTATATGATACATTCATTCTGATTTTGTGCGGTATTATTGCTCTTGAAATTGTGTTTTGTTTAATTAAATGCTCGACATATTTGTGCTCATCTGGTTCTGTATTGATAAACGAAAAGAATACGACAGTATATCATCGTCAAACAGTGAATAGAGACAATCTCACCAGTAATCTCGAGGTTAAGATACGCTGGGACTAAAAGCTAGGACTAACGTTAGTCCTAGCTTTTAGTCCCAGCGTATCTTAACCGTATCTTAACCTAATCTCGATACTTATCTGTCGCTGGCGTGTTGCACTTCATCCTCTATTTTAGTGTTACAGTTTTTTTTGTAACAAGCGACACAATACGTGGCGTTTTCCTTTTTGAATTATTTCATTGGTTGGACTTCAAGACAACCAGCTGAGAGAAAAAAGCGACTGAATTAGCTAGGAAAAGCATTTTTTGGAGTTAGATTACCCTATGCTGTGAGTAGAAGAAGAAGAATACCCCGCCTTGCGGCTACCTTGCGGTATAGGGTGCTGCCGAAGCAATTTCGATAAGCCCTATATCTTCCCTACAGCTGATGATCTTCAGAGACGGTCGACCGTTCTTCTGGTAGTCACCAAGCAAGCTGTAGCTCCGGGGACCGTGCGTAAAACGGTCATGGGAAGCTAAAATCACTTCGTTCTAAAATCACTTTTCACCATTGAACATTTTCTAACTTTAGTCTCTACGGCACGATAGATCTGCTGCACGATAAATCATGGACTGCTTCTGATTGGTCGAAAATCGTGAATGCTACTGTAAAATCATAAGTGATTTTAGCTTCCCATGACCGAGTAAAACTTAGGTTCAGGTTTTCAGCCCTGGAATATCGTTCAATTCTTATTGATCTTATTGTTTTGTGTTGTATTTTTTGTATAATACGAAGTTTTGTGCATCAGCACTCGAATTTTCAGCTAGTTTTGTGTACAGGTAACCTAGATCTTCACTACGCTTCTCTGTTTCTGGTGTTAATTTCTAGTATTCAGAACCATTAATTCTATCTTTCCGATGCAAATAGTTTTACAGAATATTCAATCGTTGTACAGAATATAGACACAGAACAGTGGATTTAGTTCTGCAGTTTACTGCAAAGCTAAGTTCATATGTTCGAATCTTTATTCGTACAAAACTGATTTTGTGTTTTTCTATAGTTTTTAGTTAACCCTGGAACGCATAGCTGAGGTCGTCCGCAGCCCCAAACATGGAAAATATTGTTTTATTACGCAACAGATAAACACTTTATTTCCACCGATTGTTTGTAACGATCGGTAGTTAATAGCTAGACACTTTATTTGCGCTCAGTTTGTAAAGATTGCTTTTTAAACTTTTAGTATTGAAACTGAACTTTTTAGAAGTCAAAATAAGTGAAAAAAGTGTTTCTAAAACCGAAAGTTTTCAAATAAAATCAACTTTTCGGTACCTAAATAACATTTGACTACACCTCCGATCCTACCATCAGATACAGAATTCAATTCTCTACAAACTGAGCTCAAAACATTTACTTCAGAACTCATGGAGCACAACGAAAAGTGCCTTACAATACGGCGCACTACACTAATTACTTCATCATTTTTTGGAAAATGATTCCTTCACGAGATCATTGGGTGAAATGTGGTTGCAATTTATGTGCTGAACATCGGCTAGTGATTTGTAAAGATTGCCTTTTATAATTCTGAAAAGTTCGGAATAAAATTGATTTTCAATGACATTATTACATGGGGTCGTATATGATCCCATCTATACGCTTTCGTTACCTATGCATTTTAGGGTTAAGGATACTATAATACAATATTTTTTCGGTTGTATTCTGACAGAATAAAGCTTATATCAAATAATATGTCGTTTGGTCAGAGTTATCATTTAGACATAATTAACTCAGCATCCTCTACATGCCAATTCAATTTGTTGCTGTAGATTTTTCGCAAATTTCCATGTAACAATGTCAACAAACGAACAACGACAAAAAGTTTCAGAAAATCCACAATATAGTAATGATCGTACAAATGAAGGTCAAGTCAGTGAAAAAGATTTGGGCAAATTGTGTAAACCAGAAAGTTGTGGCAAAGATGCAGTAGGTTAGTAAACAAGAAAAGAATATATAAAAGACCAAAAAAATATGTGAACTTCATTGAGCTATTTTTTTAGGCGGCGCTACTGATACATCATCAGAGAAAAAACCTGGTGAACGAAGTAGAACAGAAACTGGTGATGATCCGCAGCAGACACAGCACAATTCACAAGGATCACATTTACCGCCGTGTCCAAATTAACAGTGACTGCGTTCAGGGAAAGAACAGTGCTGATAAGAAACGTGTTATTTTTGATTTTTTATTGTTATAAATAAATCAAGCGCAACTACACTATTGTTATTATATTACGTTTCTTTGGTTCTCGAACATGCGGACAACAGACTGTTCAGATTGAATGAGACAGATGAGTGAGCGGAATAATCCAGGGTACTGGTTGGAAGGAAATTTTTTGCCACTTGTCATATGCATACTTATATTTCTTATCGTTGCCAGTACAGTGCCTGATTCATTACAGTAAAGTTACCCAAGATTCACCAGATACAACTCGCTCTCAGCTGTTAGAATTTACCACATACAACGAGTTTATATATATACCTCAATATAGCAAGGGACAACAAGTCGCAGCTCAAAATAAACACTTTTTCCATTCAATTCAATCTCTTTATGTTTTTCGTTCTATTATTAAAACCGAAATCAAAATTAATATAATTCAATCTATTCGAAAAGCAAGTTTAAAAATGCTGACAAATCTTAAGGTGTATGGAGTAAATAATAATATAATACACCACTTTTGATGTAATAATTGCGTTTTTCTATTTATCTTCTTCTGCTTGACAAGGATTTCGACTTTGCTTGAGAACGGAGCTGGCTTTCCAAAGATCCTCTGGAAACTCGATCTTTGAAATGTTTTCAAAAGTTGTTTCCAGTTGTGAAAAGTTTCGCTCAAGTCTTGGCTATTCATCCACCTGCCTTGACTTCTGGCGCCGATAGTAGCATGTTTATTCTTTCAGTTTGAACAACATACTGTATAACTGATTAAATAATCTCCATTACACCGTTTTTAGCTCTACTTTCCAAATTCATATTACTATTCAGGTTTTCAAATAAATGATGGTATGACAAGTTAGTGTGATAGTTTTGATGAAGGCGACAATCTTCTAAGCACATACAGAAACTAGCGATGAGATCTTATTCGTATATTTTGTGATGATAAACAATCGGTATTCGGATAAGTTAAGCTTGTTATCTGGAAAAGTGGATGATTCCCTTTTCTCACAAAAGTGTGTGAAAGCTGTGATTGAAGAGGATGCCTCCAAACCACTTTACCTGATAATAATGATCAGTTTAGTGGATGAAAGGACGTAAGCTTTAATGGACGTAGGCTTAGAAAGCAACTGTAGAACTTAAATTAAAACTGGCCGATTGTTAGCAAGCCGCAACTTTTGAGAGTACTGAAGCAAACAAGCAGCACAATTTTCGGAGAAATGTCAAAATCTTAGTGGTCTATTAAAGATTTAGATCTGAACGCTCTCGAAGTTAACTTCGGGTTAATACAGAGTTAACTTTGAAAAATTTGTAGTGTCGACGAGACCTTAGACATGACCATAGTAGGGTGCAAAACTACCAATCAAATTCTGCTGTTATACCTCTATTCCATTATCGCTCAAATCCAACTTGTTGAATTCTGAGTCCAAAATCCATCTAATATTCTTCTTATTGAGTAGTTTACTCAACTATAACATATGATTAAACTTAGTAGTCGTAGAGAGTAAAACTGGATTGTAATGTCAACGAAAAACGAATTGCAGACTAATTCGAAATTCACCAATGAGAAGCAAGATAAACTAAAAGCAAGCAAGGTGGTGACTATTTTTACTGAGCGACCGACCTTACTGACCAAATTTAATTGGTGTAACCATGGGATAGATCAATCAAATTTGGTCAGTAAAGCCAGTCGCTCAGTAAAAATAGTCACCACCAAAAAGAAAGCGCACAACGTTTGTGCCTGACTTATCCTCACCGGCATTCGGTGGATTTTCTCTCATATGTCCAAGATTATATCACATGAGAGTGCTCTTGAGAACACCAATACATCACACAGGGAGAGAAATAGTATCAGCAGGCGGGCGGTCCAGATCTTAGATTTTCTTAGTTGGCAAAAAGTTATTTAATTCTGTGCTCCGAAATCTTTATCTTGAAGTATATTAGAAAAATCTTGAAAAAACTCCAGCGTCCTTTTTGGACCTTGATCCCTGGAAAACTCCTAAACGATAAGATCTGGAGACAAAAAAATTTTTCATTCCTATAACTCATTGCACTACAAATATACTGGAGAGAGTGGAGAAAATTTTGGCGCAAACCGCTTATCAAAAGCTTTTTCGTTACCGAGTTATGATCAAAAGAAGAAGAGGAGTGCGGTGTATAGAAAATTTTTGTCGCCACTGTAGATGCACTTAAATCGTTTTCTGCAATTCTTCCAATTGCATGTCTAAAGCTTTCATTCTTTATTCACGCTCAATAATCTTAGTAACATTTTCTAGTTTAATTTCATATGTTTTACATTTTCTGCTGAATCTGTAGAGCTGCGTGACCTCCGAAAAATTTAAGAAAAAAACAAAGCGGGGAAAGTTCGTAGTAGCTACCCATGCAGATGAAAAAAGCCGTTCGAAGGATGCGGCGAGTACTCGTACATAGGCCCTCGCCGAGGGCTCGAACCCTCGGAAAATGACACTTCGGACCCTCGATATAAGCCCGAAGGTGCGATGTTTGGGACTTCGGAGCCGTCGCTCCCTCGATGGTGAGACGCGAGCTCGGAAGCCCGAACATCTTTATTCGATGGCTCGAAATTTTTCTCGAGGGCTCGAAATCAATACCCGTCGAAAGTTTATATCGAGGATCCGAAGTGTCATTTTCCGAGGGTTCGAGCTAGGGGTGTGACAGTTCCGTATCAGTTCCGAGAGCGGGAGCTAGCACACCATTTCAAGCTCATATGAAAGGAGCTGATCAACAGCTCACATGAGTAGGAGCTGAAGCTGGTTAACAGCTCACATGAGTAGGAGCTGGAGCTGGTTAACAGCTCACATGAGTAGGAGCTGGAGATGGTTAACAGCTCACATGAGTAGGAGCTGGAGCTGGTTAACAGCTCACATGAGTAGGAGCTGGAGATGGTCACCAGCTCTTTACTACATTTACTCACAGTTCAC